CTGTGTGCAGCGCTGTTGTGCTCAATCCTGTGCCGTACTGGTTTTTTAAACCCCCCTCCCCTCACCCCCATTGCTTCTCCTGTGGTTTTTTGTTTTTGTTCTTGTAGTTGCAGGACCCCCGCATGTATGATCAGGTCTATAGGTACTTAGACCTCCCAGGGCAGGTATGTGGACATACGGCGATTATTTTAAAGCACTGTGTGTGATTTCTGCTACAGCAGCTCACTGCTCAGTTTCATGTACTGTGCTGCTTAAAGTGGGTCATACTGAACTCTGGGAAGAAGGGAGTGCTGTTTGATGATGGACTGAGTAAATATGTAAAAACCTTTTTCAAACTCTCACTTTATTACTATGTGAGTTCCATGCTTTGGCTAAAAATATGTATAAACAGATATAATATATCTGTGATAATTGAATTTGGTCTGATTCAGTCGGTGAGCACTCCCTGTTCCCACGCTTGTGTGAAAGCATTTTCTTTTCCATTAAGTGCTTTAAGAACCCTTCTTCTTAAGTGTCTGTGTGAGTTGTGTCTTCAGAGAGTTGATTGAGTACACTGCATATATGAAAGATCATCACTTAGTTTAGTTGAATAGAAGCATAACAGAGCTGTTTTCACAATAGGTGCCATGTAAAAACACTTTAAGAGGGAGGCTTTGGTGTGTGGATGTTTATGTGGCATGTTAAAGTTAAATAAAGAGGATGCAGCAGCATTTTGTATCAGAAAAGTGTCAGTGACCAGAGCATGACCAGCGATTTAGATCCATGTTTACAATTTGGATTTGATTGTGTATGTCTGAATAGTCATAAAAAGCTTTTTTTACTCATGTTCTAATGTTTTGTCTTCTAAGATGATAAATGAAATGTATTTAACAGCAGCGAATCTGTTGTCTTCTCTCTCCATTTCTCTCTGCCTCATGTTTTTCTCCCTATCCCCAAATCATCTTTTGTGGGTTCATCCTCCATTTAATTTACACCATCTCCTGCATCTTTACTCAAACATTTCCTCCCACACCATCATGTCATTCTGCCCCTCATCACCTCCTCTACCAAAGCTGAAGGCAATAGACCGTCCGCAGGAGCCAGAAAAGATACCGCGGGCGCCTCACGACCGTAAAAAGGAGTGGCAGAAACTGGCACTGGGTGCAGAGCTGGCCCAGGACATGCCCGACGACAAACACAGAGAGGCCAACGGATCTGCAGGTTACCATGACAACAGGTATGTGAAGGTGGCTGTCCAGTATTTAGGATTACAATTCCAAATCCTACATTTAGGGAAATCAGACCCGAGTGTACCATAGAATAGTTCTAAACATTAGCAGCAGTACCACAGAGTTACATTGAATTGGCTGCTATCTTTCAAAGTAACAATAATAATACTTGTGACATGTTAAGTTGGAGACGTGTCAAAAATTTATTTGTACATGTTTTACAACCTTTTGACTGGGTCACTTTAATAGATTAGGTATCCAGCTTTCTAGCTAAATTAGCTGAGCTATCCACAACAACAGAACACACAATTAGTGCACAAGGCTGCTCAAGTCCTTAAAGGTAGTAATTTGCTGATCAGGCCTATACGAGTCACATGACCCACTACTGTTTTTGACCCCTCGGTGTCTCAACTCTTCTATCTTTAGGGCTCTGAATCAACCAAAATTGTTACAGGCATCAAATAATGGGATAACATGCACATTCTTCCTGGTAGACACGGAAAAGCATGTACAACTTTGAGCCTCAGACGCTACTGATTGGATACATACTTGTATGTCAGAAGGACGTAATCACTCGAACTACAATAATAAATTGTGCCCACTCCGCAGGGAATGGGTCCTAACACTTTACACTTCACTGGCAGTGAGGAAATGAAGCAACAACAGTGATGATTAAGGTCCCTCACAGTTGTGATTGCATTTATTGTGTCTCACAGCTCCAGCAGCACTCATGTTCAGTAATGTCCCTGCCAGTCAATGTGATTAATAAAAAAGATTTTATGCAAATGAGAGGTTTTCTTGGATTTGTCAGCGCCACAAATAGCTGACATAAAACTGGATTTCGAGCGAACTGATACCAAGGTATCAAGCCCATAGAGATGGTTATGAATGCATGTTCCCTGTGTTACTGTCAAAGCATCACCCAAGTTGGTCAGTAGCTAAGGCACATTTGCTTGTTTCATTTTGCAAAACAGTCAGAGGTTTAGTGTGAGTGTAGTTAGCAAAATGGGTTTTGTGTTTACAGTTTAGAGAGGAGGGTGGGCGGTTTCAAGAAATGTGTCTTAGCAATTTTGAAAACACAATTGCATAACAGATCAGGAGACAGTTAAAGAACAAGCGAGAAAATGAATCAAAACAATGGAATTAAGACCTTCTTTCTGCTCAGGGCTCCCTTGTACATGGAGCATTTGGACGGGCCGTTCTCGCTGGCGGCGCTGCCCTACAGCCAGATGAACGAGCTGCTGAGCCGTACCGGGGACAGAATGTATTCGCGGCCCCACGACCCTCCGCCGCCTCCACCTCCTATGCACCCACTGGGAGAGATCAAGCCGCCCTCTGTGATCAGGTGGGAAAGGAGACAACAAACAACACATAACCTCAATTTGATGTCCCCCTCACAAATCTGTAGCTATGGTTTTGCATAGCAACTGCAAAAAGTTTTAGGAATAGCAATGCATTCACCCAGATCTGCAAGCCAGAAAGTTTCTGTCACTCCGATTTCAAGCTCACATGGCAGATATAAACCTGTGTGAAAAATGATCTGTAAATCTTATTTCACCTCGTCTCTAATTCACCAGTGCACACCCATCCCCATGTCTTTGGTTTGTTAATTTTTTCCCCCTCTTGTAGATCAATTGGTCACAGTCAGTAGCATTTCCTAGCTTTTCTTTTTTGTATTTATTCTCTTTAAGAGAATGAGGATTTTTCACTTGGTTACGATGAATGGACAGATGGATGGATGGAGGGTTTTTGGACCAAAGCTGAATAAAAAAGGAAAAGGCTCAGAGAAGGGGAGGATCAATAACGTGTTAAGGCCACTGAGTGTATTACAGGTTTTTTTTTGCCACACATGTCACTATTTGAAGGGATGGAAAGATCAGAGGGAATGATTAAGGTTGTGGCTGCAGCACCAGAGAAATGTCGCATTGATTTTTACAGAAGTCCTCACAGCCATCGTCTCCTCTTACCCTCAAATGCTTTCCATCCTCGTCTTTGTTCATCCACTGTGCTTTATATTACTTTTCAATCCCTGTCTGACCTTTATTTAAGGCGTCCTGCTGTTTTTTTTTTTAGTAGTTACTATCATTATGTTGCATATCTCATTTTCTCACTTCACTCCTTTACAAATCCTCCCCACATTTAATGTAGCACATTAAGTAGGATTTGGTGCAGACACAGCCTCAAGTGTGCTCGCAGGAAATACTCCACACATCATTTTCCTCCCCCTTCCCTCTCTCTCTTGCTGTGCTATTTGTCTGCAGCAATTTTCTCTGTAGGAAGAAAATTGATTGTGAACATGTCAGTCTTGTCATGTTGCAGTGTCCCGGTTAGTTGCTCGATCCACCCACACACTGTTTCAGTACCAGTGACTGGCCAATACTGATAAGATTCTGTCGTTAATGGACAAGTCGGCTGCCCTGGGAATTCAATATTCCCCCTCAGTGTACAGAGTCCTTTAAACCTGTAATCCTGTTTCTAATTGCCTACCAACATCGAGCTAGACATTGTTTGGCATGCCGCGATTTCTGATAGGGACTTTTTTGTATGTACCGGCGGCAGCGTTATGAAGCATCACCAGGCCATTCAGAACTTTATCCCCTCTCTGACAACACTGATGCACTGCTGCAAAAAAAAAATATTTATCTTATGATCTAATGGAACACTTCCTTTTCAGTTTTGTTGAGCAGAACAGAACAAAATAGTCTTGATCTTGACATGAATTTCTTCAGCAACACCTGTGAATTCACAGTTCAGTAACCCCACCCCTTATTATTCTCTCTCTTCATCCTCCAGCTCCAGTTCGGGGTTTTCCGACAGCAGACCCCAGTCTCCAGCCCGGACAGCAGGCCTCACCTCCAGCACTCCCCCTCCGCCTCCTCCTCTCCCCCCTCCTCCCCCTCCTTTACCCTCCACAAGCCTGAGGGGCACCCCTCCTCCTCCTATTCCTCCTCTCCCAGTCCAGCAACAACCTCCAGCCATTCCGCCTCCTCCTGCTCCTCTCCAGATCGCCCCAGGGGTGCTCCACCCAGCCCCTCCGCCTGTGGCACCTCCCCTCCACTCTTCTTCCCCAGCCCGTCACCAGCAAGTCCTGGACAAGGGCCTATCCATGGGCTCTGGGACCCAGTCAGATGGCACCATCCTGCCTCCTCCCCCACCGCCACCGCCTCTGCCCCTCTCTGGAGTGCGGAGCTCATCGCCCTGTCCGTCAGGCCCGCCACCTGTGCCAGCCTTCCCCTCAGCAGGAGCCATGGCCACCCCACTGCCCCACACCCATCACGATGTGGTGACCAAGAGGCACCATCCAGCCAGTCTGCCACCCATCAGCGACGCCCGCAGTGTCCTGCTGGAGGCCATCAGGAAAGGTGGATCATGTCTTATCAGAAAATGTTTTCAAACTTCCTCAGCCTCAGTTGAAATTTTAGTTCCTATATAAAAGTTTTTCTGTTGCAGTCCAGTGAGTTAGACTGATATGATGGTCGTCTTGCATAGTCTATGCTTTGTCTACAGAACAAGTCAGTTGTTATTTGTACAGCCCACTATCACAAATCACAAATTTGCCTCAAGGGGCTTTAAACAATTATACAATTATACTTATGTACATTATAATATTTCATCGCAAACTGAAGCCTTTCCCTGCACGTTACTACTTCTCCCACTCCAGGCATACAGCTACGAAAAGTGGAGGAGCAGCGAGAGCAAGAGGCTAAGCACGAGCGAGTTGGCAATGACGTGGCCACCATCCTGTCGCGCCGCATCGCTGTGGAGTACTCCGACTCTGAGGACGAGTCTGAGTTCGATGAAGGAGACTGGATGGAGTGAAATGGATTGAAAAGCAGCGGTGGCAGGGGAGGACAAACATGTTCAGGTGCCCCCGCCCCCCCCCAAAGCCCTGCACACCTTGCCATCCAAGTCATTTCCACTCTTGACAGAAGAGGAACATCATTGTTGCCCACTTTTTCTCTGTCAAGCTCTTTTATCTCATCATCTCTCCATCTCCTTGTGGTTTGTTTCTGGAGGAGAGTCTCGGTGTCACCCCTGTCAGTCTTTCTACTGTTCCAAGATAAGTTTTTTTTTTTTTGCATTCATTGTTTTCTGTTCTACCACACAACATGGATTTCTTGTGATGGAATCCCGTGTTTACTATTGTTATACATGACAAACCTTTTTAAAGAACCATTTGTTTCTGTTTCTATCTCTAAGTTGTTAGAATAAAAAGACAACAATAGACCAGGAAAAATGAAGGCATGTTGCATATATCCTTAGTTTTCCAGCACAGTTTTGCCACCTGGTGGCTGAACATGGTGTCGAATGAATGCTGTTTTATTTTATTGTCTTTTATCATTTTTCTGCTGAAACATTTGCAGGTTCAATGAGCCAGTAGTTGCCAATACTGACCACTAGATGAACAGATATAGTAGGGGGTACACCAAGCCAGGTCGAAGGCACCCATGATATTGAGTCTGACCAACAATAGGTACAAACCACTCGACACCACCGAAGGCAGCTGTTCCCTCAGATCCCCCTGTACCACGTACCTGGCCACTAACAAGAAGCCTTACCTCGTTCGGTTCTTCAGCTGTGACTGTTGTTCAGAAGAATACATTCTGCGTGACACTGCCTTTTTAGGCCTAAAAGAGAGGCGCATTATGCTTTGTTTTGGCTCATTTCAAAGAAAATGTCTGCCGTCCTTTTCTGTTCTTTCTTCTACTTGCCTTATTGTTCGTACAAAACGTATTGTTGAGTTGTTGAATGTACTGTGCTGTTACTACTTACTTGCCTGCGCTTGTATGGATTTGCTGTTTCTGTGTTCGAAGGGGTAAAAGTGACAGAGGGACAGAAACCCTTGTTTAAAAGAGAAAAACATTAGATCAGTACTGTACACAATGTAACTTATATAACTGTTGACTGTAACAGTTTGCTTGAATTAATAAAAATCTAATGTTATGATGCCTGTAAAGAAGTCTTCATAAAGAACCCTGGTTAGCTTTTACATTAGGTAGGCCCTCTCTCTATGGGGCACACACTAGGTGACAAACTTAAAATATAAATAAGACTTGTGTCAAAGTTCGGTGCCTCAGCACATGCGAGACATTACCTTACATGCCTCTTATGTGCACTTGTGCAAGTGTTGACAATGATTTTATCTTTACTCTTGCTTTTTTTCCCCCTTCAAAATAAGAGCATTGTTATTTAGGATTATATAATATCAAACAAAATTTGGATTACCTGTTTTAACTTACTGTGCACTAATATCCTCTATAGGCATTTAACTTGATTGTGAAAGTTAAAAGCCAAGAAGAATCACACTGTCACAAGTTGTCTCAGATTTTGCCAGATGAAGTTTGAAGCTTAAAATCACAAGTTCACAGTTTCATGTGCAGTCACACTTTCACCTATTTCCATTTCTTTCTAATCTCATTCTCACTTTGCTCTCTCTAATTCATCCTTCTCTCCACTTCTCACTCTGCCTCTTCTCTCTTCCATCTTGTTCTTCCCTGTCATCGCTCTAAATAAAGAATGCTTCCAGAGGGTTTTTTTTATCATCTTGTCACACTCCTTATAAACTTATTCTTGTCCTGTCATTCTTAAACCTCCAGTTGGGCATCACAGCTTTCATGTCAGCGTGGCACATGACATCTACATCTCAAAAAATATGTCAGCCTTGAGACTGCGTGGATTAGAACACTGTGCAGAGCCCTCATCGCAGTTTGCAGCGCCACGGTGGGAGGAGGCTTATTAAAAAGTGAGAGTGAGTGTGTGTTTGTCTAAGGAGAGTCGATGAAAAAGATTTAATTACCAGATACAGTGTGTTATTCTCCTCGTGCTGGGAAGGGTGTCCAACTGTTTCACCTTGGAAGAAAATGCCTGATTTGTTTTCTTCCCAACATTAAGCTGTAGTCAATAGACTTAACGATTTGGGTGTAGTGCAGTATCATGACACACTGGACAGTCAGGTTTACAGCTTCCTAGCTGAATTATGTTTATGCAGAATATTCCACCTGCCCTCTGCTCCTGGTAGTTTACAGTAAAGCAAAAGCTAAAAATATCATTTGTCCTGATGCTACAGCACACGTATACAGTGGTGTGAAAAAGTATTTGCCCCCTTACTGATTTCTTATCTTTTTGCATGTTTGTCACACTGTAATGTTTCAGATCATCAAACAAATTTAAATATTAGTCAACGATAACACAAGTAAACACATCATGCAGTTTTTAAATGAAGGTTTTTATTATTAAGGGAAAACAAAATCCAAAACTACAAAACCCTGTGTGAATAAGTGTTTGCCCCCTAAACCTAATAACTGGTTGGGCCACCCTTAGCAGCAACAACTGCAATCAAGCGTTTTCGATAACTTGCCATGAGTCTTCCACAGCGCTGTGGAGGAATTTTGGCCCACTCATCTTGGCAGAATGGTTGTAAGTCAGCCACATTGGAGGGTTTTCGGGCATGAACCGCCTTTTTAAGGTCATGCCACAGCATCTCAATTGGATTCAGGTCAGGACTTTGACTAGGCCACTCCAAAGTCTTCATTTTGGTTTTCTTTAGCCATTCAGAAGTGGACTTGCTGGTGTGCTTTGGATCATTGTCCTGCTGCAGAACCCAAGTTCGCTTCAGCTTGAGGTCACAAACGGATGGCCGGACATTCTCCTTCAGGATATTTTGGTACACAGCAGAATTCATGGTTCCACTTATCACAGCATGTCTTCCAGGGCCTGAAGCAGCAAAACAGCCCCAGACCATCACACTACCACCACCATATTTTACTGTTGGTATGATGTTCTTTTTCTGAAATGCAGTGTTACTTTTACGCCACACATAATGGGACACACACCTTCCAAAGCAGCAGACAGCGAACCGGAATTATTTACCACAGCGGAAGTAGTTTTCATATAGTGAGCAATAAGTTGTATATGAATTGTTTATTTGTAAAGGGACAGTGTACAACCAGAGGGGACTGTACTGAATACACCAATACACATATGTGTATCTGTTTGTAGTATAGTATTGACACAATTTCCTACAAAAACAACTCTATCAAGGCATTTTAAAGATTTGTAACATAAGACGCTGACAAATACAGCTACATCAACACGAAAAAAAATAAAAGTCAGCGCATGAGCAGTGAGAACTGAAACCAAAAGACAGTAGAATAGAATAATCAAAAGTTGTTGCTTTGTAATATAGTGCTATTCACTACTGGCATGAGCTACATCTTAATACAGGCATAAATTTAAAAGAATTTAATAAAGTAGAAAGTGAAGTATTAAATACAGTATTTTAATAGGAATTATTTTATTACATGTTAATTAAAATCCAACTGTAATGTCATTTATAGCTACCCAGCAGTCTTGGTAATTGTCAGGTTTAATTTCACTTCATGTATCTGCAGTTTCAGGAAACCTAGTACGACATTCAGTGCTACTAATATCTACACTGTATTTAAAAACAAGAATATATTAGCAATGCTAGTAAAATTAGCATGTTTCCTAATTAAAGTCATTATGAAAACCTATGAATCTGTAGAAAAGCAACTAGTTGTCATAAAGTTGAGGAGTTTTTACAAAGGAGCAAGCAGCACCATGCAACCCAATGATAAATTAAGCTGTTTCATATCTGCAGTAAGCTATTGTCATGCTGTTTGTCTTTTTTTTTTTTAGGCTTCACAGATACAATCATATGGTAAATACTCTGTAAAGCAAACACAACAAATTTGTTGGTATGCATTTTATCCCCTCAAATCTGTTGTGATGGTATGACTGTGAAAGGATCGACATTGCAAAGAGTGAAATCACTCTCTGTCCTGTCACTTACTCTTCCTTCGGGGGAGCTCCTTCTGAACCTGACAGGCCCGCCTTGCCGAATCCCAGAGTCTGCAGACTCAGTAATGAAGGGCTGTGTGGGAGAGAGACACAGCATCACCGGCAGCTTAGCATCACCGCCTGGTGGACAAGATGGGGAAGGACAAGAGCAGATGTTAACTACTGTATGGAAAGACAGTAACAGATGACTGAGAATACAGAGGGGGACTCATTGTGAGGACTACCTTCCTTGTGAGGACCAGATCCTGGTCCCCATCAAGCAACTCACTGAATTTTACAGTGACAACTTGGTTTAAGGTTAGGGTGAGGCTGAGGTAGGTTAAGGTTAAGCTACTGTAAGTCTCCAGGAAATGAATGTATGTCAATGTACAGTCTCCAGGAAGAATTAAAACAAATGTGTGTATGTGTGTCTTTGTGCATCACCTATGGCATCCTGAAGTAGATGAGTGACTTTGCTGTTCCTGTGGGACACATGTGGTCTGTGCTCAGCCAGAGCAGAGAGGCTGCTTTATACAGGACACCTCCCATAATACCCTGCTGTGCCTTCTGCTGCATGCCTGACTGCTCTTCCAGCAGCTGGGATCCCGTCATGGTGTGAGTCTTCTCACTACCTGTCTGTCCGTATGCTATGATACACACATTATAACTGCAGGGAGGGAGATGACAGCCAATTAATGTTAAAGTCATGCAGTTGTGTACTGTTATTTAATTCAGAGGAGTGTTTAATTAATGTAGTTGAATGAATACACTTTCACACTCACCAACCCAGCAAAGATGCAAGTAGCTGCTTGACGTCCTCAAATACAGCATCTTAGGAATTGTGTGGTCCATGCGTCCTAGAAGAAACAAATATGCTGCAACTATTAATCAACAACAAAAAAACAACAACACATAAAACAATACACACTGTATTAGGTCAATGTTCCGTGTCCAGAGATCGGGTCGTCGGGGCCCCTGCCTTCGACTGCTGCCCAATCCACTGTGCACCGGCCCCTTACGGATCCTCCTGCAGGTGGTGGGCCCATGGGAGGACGTCCCCACGTCGCTCGTTCGGTTTAAGCCCGGCCAGGCCCCGTGAGGGGAGGCCCGGCCACCAGGCACTCGCATTCGAGCCCCGACCCCAGGCCTGGCTCCAGGGTGGGGCCCCGGCTGCGCAATGCCGGGCGACGTCACGGTCCTTGATTTTAATCTATTCATAAAGGGCTTTTGAACCACTCTTAGTCTGACCCATCACCCAGGACCTGTTTGCCTTGGGAGAC